TATATAGTATATATAGTGTATAGTATATACTATATAGTATATATAGTGTATAGTATATACTATATAGTATATATAGTATATAGTATAGTATGTATAGTATATATACTATATGGTATATATACTATACTATATATATGCTATATAGTATATATAGTATATATATAGTATATATAGTATATATATAGTATATATAGTATATATAGTATATATATAGTATATATAGTATATATATAGTATATATATATAGTATATATATAGTATATATAGTATATATATAGTATATATATAGTATATATATAGTATATATATAGTATATATAGTATATACTATATATATATATATATAGTCACATCTTTTTTTTTTAATTTTTTTTTTCAACGTTTATTTATTTTTGGGACAGAGAGAGACAGAGCATGAACGGGGGAGGGGCAGAGAGAGAGGGAGACACAGAATCGGAAACAGGCTCCAGGCTCTGAGCCATCAGCCCAGAGCCTGACGCGGGGCTCGAACTCACAGACCGCGAGATCGTGACCTGGCTGAAGTCGGACGCTTAACCGACTGCGCCACCCAGGTGCCCCTATAGTCACATCTTCTTTATCCATTCATCCATCGATGGACATTTGGGCTCTTTCCATACTTTGGCTACTGTTGATAGTGCTGCTGTAAACATCGGGGTGCATGTGCCCCTTCGAATCAGCATTTTTGTATCCTTTGGATGAATACCTAGTAGTGCAGTTGCTGGGTCATAGGGTAGTTCTATTTTTAGTTTTTTGAGGAACCTCCATACTGTTTTCCAGAGTGGCTGCACCCGTTTGCATTCCCAGCAGCAGAGCAAAAGAGATCCTCTTTCTCTGCATCCTTGCCAACATCTGTCGTTGCCTGAGTTGTTCATCCTAGCCATTCTGACAGGTGTGAGGTAGTATGAGATGAACGTATTTAAACATATAAAATACAGGAAGTGGGCACTTATAAAATTGTTAGAAGGGTCACAAGAGCTGACTTTGCAAGGTAGGTCTCCAGAAGTGCCTCCCCAAATGTGGCAAAACTGAACCTTCAAAACGTGCTCCCTCAGCCACGGTCCAGAGGCGGAGCTGCAGGGGGCTGCCTCTGGGACCACCAACTTCAAGCACACACTGCTTTACCTGCAATCCAGGGTCAGAAGGTAAGATGACGCGGGGCGCCTGGGTGGCTCAGTCGGTTAAGCAACCAACTTCAGCTCAGGTCATGATCTCAGGGTTTGTGGGTTCAAGCCCCATGTCGGGCTCTGTGCTGACAGCTCAGAACCTGGAGCCTGCTTCAGATTCTGTGTCTCCCTCTCTCTCTGCCCCTCCCCCACTTGCACTCTGTCTCTCTCTCTCGAAAGTAAATAAAACGTTAAAAAAAAAGAAAGTAAGATGATGAAACCACCACTCACTGTTGCCACAAACGCGTGGAACGTGGAGTTCAGACCCCAGCCGTGCTGTCTCTGCCACCACCTTTTGGTAGCCACAGCAGGAGGAGATGCTGCCTCTGTCATCCAAATGTCACACAAGGGCATCTAAAGGGTGGAATCTTATTTCTGTTCAGAGTGCTTTGTGCACAGAGCAGGAAAATTACTTTTCCAGCCTATTCATGAGAGGAAGTCCAACCAGGACGATGTGGCAATGAACTCCGAGTGCCAGCCAATTAAAATTAGCCACAGGAACTGTACTTTTACAGGGTTTTCTAGAATTTGTATTTAGCTCTTTCTCAACATCCTCTGGTTGGTTTGGTTTGTTTTCCTTTCAGCAGTGTGACTTGTTTCTTCCTTGATCTCTTCATGTATTTTAATCCATGCTCATTTTATATTCTCTCAGTTTATGCAGTTATCTTGTTCTTGTCCGTGGTTTCGGCTCATGCCCTGCTCCTTTGCCGGGGGAGGCAAGCTTCGTCCTGCATGCTGCTCTGATGAGGTTGTGTCTGGTCCTTGGAGCCTCACCTAGGGCTCCCCAGTTGGAGCCCCATTAGCATGTTGGGCATGCATGGTCATCTGGATGCATCCTTCCTGCTGAAGCAGGAACTTGGGATTTTGGAGAGCAGCAGTGGGCGGGCCGTCCCATCCCTGTTTCCTCACTAGGGCTGGAGATGTTTCCACTAGGGTTGGGGATGGCTGAGATATGACCCCAATCTCCCCATCGACCTCAATGTATTAGTTTTCTATTTCTGTTTGATCAACCGTCACAAGCTCAGAGGCTTAGAACAACAATCCTTTAGGATCTCCCAATTCCATGGGAGTGAGCATAACTCAGCTGGATCCTTTGCTCAACGTTTCACAAGGCTACAGTCAGCGTGTTGGCCACACTGAAGTTCTTATCTGGAGCTGAGGGTTCTCTCTCAAGGCTACTGGTTGCTGGCAGAATTCACTTTCTTACAATCGTGGGTACCCATGTTCTTGCCGGCTGCCCACCAGAGTCAGTCACAGCTCCCGGGGGCCACACCTATCCATCAGTGGTTCAGAACCCTGATTTTCTTCCTTGAGGTCAGCAGGAGCATGTCTCTTTCTGACTTCTGCTTTTAAAGGGCTTGTTTGATTAAGTCAGCCTCATTTAAGCTAATCTTCCTTTTGGTAACTCAAAGTCAGCTGAGTGGTAGCTTAATTATAATCATACAGGGCATGCAACATGGGAGGAGCAGGATTTGGTGGGGAGGGACGTCCTAGAAGTCTGTCCAAAATGTCCATGAACACCAGAAGGCTGGCACCAGACGAGGGAGGGAGAGAATTGCAACCTGTCCTTCTGGGAGGCAAGGCTGACCGCTCATGTTTTTTCTTCCCTCCCTGGTTTTGCCCTTTCAGGACTCACCCTTCCCCAGGAGAGGAGGCTGGATGACGCATTGGCCCTTGCTGTTCTGAAAGCCGTGGCCCAGGTGAGTCATGCTTTCTTCCCCCTTCCTCAAACTGTGCTCATTTTGTATGAATATAGGACAACTTCCTTGGATTTCCTGTCTCACCCATGCATGAAAAGATCAAAAGGCCCTGAGCCATCGCTAAGAATCCCTCTCTCTCTGAACCTGCATTCATGTATCCACATGACGTCGACTCTCCTATGGACTCAATTCTGCAGAAATGCATTGCTTCAGGGAAACGTGAAAGACTCCTATGTGAAATATGATTTCATGGACTAAAGGAACCACACATAACAGTGCTTTAATGGTAACCTACAGACCAGGGTTTCCCAGTTAGACAAGATGGGCCGTGGTGTTGGTTGGTCTCTGCTGTGGTCCGAATGTATCCCCCCAATTCATATGTTATGGTATTTGGAGATGGACCTTTACTAAGTGATTAGGTCAGGGTGAATGGGATTAGTGTCCCTATAATAGAGGCTCTAGACAAATCCCTGGTCCTCTTCAACCCCGTGAGGACGTAATGGGAAGTTGACCAGTGGTACTTTGTTATAGCAGCCTGAATGGACTAAGACAGAAGGTCTCAGGTTCAGGACCTTTTGAATTGGGGTTGGCATTGGGAATTTGAGGCATTGCCCAGCAGTCCCTCCATCCAGCCCAGATGGATGCCTGACCCAAGATCAGATGTGATGCTGAGCCACACGTGTGGGTAACGGGTCACATCTGTGTGAGCCTGGTTTATCGCCCATCAGCATTCTAGTGCTCGGGAACAAGGAAAGAGTGTGCCTGAGGATGAGCTAGGTGAGACTAGTCAGAGTGCGTGAGGTTGAAAACCATAAATTGGCAGAGCTAAGAATGTCCCTAAAGATATCTTGTTCAACTAGATGTTCAACTGGGTGGTTCAATAGGTTAAGCGTCTGACTGGATCTCGGCTCAGGTAATGACCTCACAGTTCGTGAGTTCAAGCCCCACATCGGGTTCTGCGCTGACGGTATGGAGCCTGCTTGGGATTCTGTCTCCCCTTCTCTCTGCCCCTCCCCTGCTTGTGCTGTCAAAATAAAAATTAAAAAATAAACTTAAAAAAAAAAAGGTATCTTGTTCAACCTCAAGTGCCCAGAAATAAAAGAGTTTGTCACTTAGTGCAATGTCATGGGAAATTGTGCAGCTGATAATAATAAGTCTGTATTAAAGAGTCTGACCGAATAAGGAAACATTTGGACAGTGATGAAGCTGCTTCTTCAATATATTTAAGAATAATACACAAATCCCATAATTCCTAGCACAGATTCTGTTAGTCATTTTGGAATGATTCCATGAGAAAAATGTTTCAGGATTTCCTGAGCTCAACAGGAAGGCGATTTGAGGCTGATAGTTGTTCATTGTGCTGTCTTGTGCACAGGTGACCGGTCAGCGGCATCTCTGGTCTCTCCCTGCTAGGTGCTAATAGCGCCCCCTATCCCAGTGGCGCCAACCAGAGTGTCTGCAGGCATTGCCCACTGTCTTCTGGGGGCGCCATATTGTCCCTGAGAGCCATTTCTCTAGTCTGAGTTTTCTTGAAACATTATGAAAGCACACAAACACTGAAAACAATATCAGTATATTTCCATATTCACTCCTTTGATTTCAGAGCAGAAGGAATAGAGAATTTCAGACATGTGAATTCAACTTCTACAGTTTATTGGCAAAACATTGAACTGACTTCTTTTTGTTCATTGAAGTATCTTTTGATGGCTGTATCTCCCTTTACGAAGGAAGTTGTGCTGCTCTCCATAGAAATACCAAGAACATACAGACCCTTCTCTTGAATTGCCAAAATCGTCTTGCGTGCTCATCTGCCTCAGCTTATTCTCTGGGTATGTCTCCCCACTCCCTGCAGTGTCCTTTTTCATCCTCCTATTTTCCTGGTCATAAATACTCACTTGGATGGCACACATCCTCAGTTTGTTGTTTCAGGGCTCAGTGATGTTTAGGGATGTGGCAGTAGTCTTCTCAGGACGAGTGGGGCCAGCCAGATCCTGCTAGGAAGGACTCGTACAGGGACGTGACACTGGAGAACTTCAGCAACTTCATCTCTAGGTAAGATGTTAGCACCCCTGGGAGGCTGGGATTTGCCCACGGGAATACCTGCTGCCTTGGGTGTGAATTCTGAGGTGCCTTCAAGTTTCTGCTCTGTTCTCAATGCAATTGTACTGAATGGGGACAGATAGTTCTGTAGGATAACACCCAAAGAAGCTTCTTCCCCGTTCCAAAAGTGACTTCCTCCTCTTCTCTGGAATTTTCTGGTTTCTCTTCCTCATTGATGACCAGGAGCTGGGTGTGACTTCTGGGATGCCCCCTTTGTGACTCTGTTGCATTTCTTCTTGCGTACACAGGTTCTTCTATTTCCAGGCCAGATGTGATCTCCTTATCGGAACAAGGGAAAGAACCCTTGGGGGCACAAAGAGATGTGACAGGAAGCCTGTGCCCAGCTGAGTGAAGGATCATTAAGAAGGGCAGTGGCGCTGTAGGTAATGGCTCAGACGGTTAGCAGGACGAGGCACCTTTGAGACAATGCCTGGAAAGTTCCCCTCAAAGTCCCTAGTGTTCAGAGCAGAGCATTACTCCCATCAGGGTGAGCGCCTGGAGGGGCCTCTGTCGTACTCACACATACCACCCCCTGCACCCTCCCCATGCTTCTCCCCACTCAAAGAGGAAGGCGAGTTCTTTGAAGTACAACTTTTTACCTACCCAGGGAACACTGTTTCTTTCCAGTTTCTCCCCCACCTCCTTTTTATACTTATTTTGAGAGAGACCGAGCATGAGTGGTTGGAGGGGAAGAAAGAGTGAAAATCCCATGCAGGCTCCACACTGTCAGCACAGAGCCTGACGCGGGGCTCGAACTCACGAACCATGAGATCATGACCTGAGCCAAAGTCAGACACTTAACTGACCTAGCCACCCAGGCGCCCCTCCCCCACCACTTTTTAAACAGTTGTATCATTGTTTCCATCCGAAAATATGGTTCTAAAAATAGTTTATTTTGGTTACCTCCCAATGATTTTTCTTCCTTTGATATGTATTTCCAGATTCAGATTTTGTACATTCTTTCTTTCATGCTTTAAAAAAAAAAATTTTTTTACCATGTTCAAATTTTCCAATTTGAGTCAGGCTCTCTGCAATAACGTGGGTCCCAAGGTTCTTCTGATTCATCCTCAGATGTAGGATTAGACCAGCCTGTAATTTCTGCTGTCAGACATTTCTTAAACATTTCCTAAAATTCTATGTAGTCAATTTTTAAATAATTCTTATCATACCCCTGTGAGAAACACATGTATTAAGTAGAGTACAACGTTTATGTATGAGTTTTTTTTCTCTTTAGTCTTACAGTAAGTGATCAAAATACTGTTTTCTAAATATACTAAAATTGGTTCTTTTCTTCCCCACCCCCTTCATCGTGGCTGTATTTATTTGTAGTACAGGCAGGTTCATTCATTACTGTTTTAGTTATTTATTTGGATGCTGTGTGAAACATTACTGTCATTCTGAAAAGTCAGAACTTTACAAAAGAGTGTTCTCAGAAAAGTATGGCATCTCCCTCATTCCTGCTACCTCTTCTCATTCTCCTCTTTTCAACCTTATCCCCACCTACCCCTGTAGTTAACCAAACTCATTATTTTACATTCTTTTCCTTCCAGTATTTCTTGTGTAAAAATGAGCAGATACATGTATATTCTCTTATATTTCTTTTCTTACAGAAAAAGTCACATACCGTATGTATACTTTTGCACCTAGCTTTTTTTCACCTAAGAATATGTCTTGGAAATTACTTATAATTTCATGGACATTTTTTTCATTCTTGTATGCAACTGTGTAACACTTCATTTTGTAGATATGCCAGTTTATTGAACCACTCTCCTATATATGGGTGTTTAGATTGTTCCCAGTATTTTATTTTTTATTAAAAAGGTTTTTGTTTGTTTTTTTTTTTACATTTATTCATTTTTGAGAGACAGTGTGAGCGGGGGAGGGGCAGAGAGAGAAGGAGACACAGAATCCGAAGCAGACTCCAGGCTCTGAGTTGTCAGCACAGAGCCAGATGCGGGGCTCCAACCCACGAACGGTGAGATCATGACCTGAGCTCGTTAGACATTTAACGGACTGAGCCACACAGGCGCCCTTCCCAGTATTTTAAAATTATGATCATGCCATAATGAATAATCATGTGTATCATGTTTATCATAATGTTGGAGGTATTTCATCAGGGTAGATTCCTAGATGTGGGATTTTGGTACCCAAGACCCATGTTTTTTAAATACCATACTAGGAAACTGCCTAACAAGTATACCCAAGGGCTGTTTCATTTTCTAGAGGATTTGTACCTTTGTTTGACTTACTGTTAAATATTGGTTAGAACCTAGACTCTTGAGGGATGCCTGGGTGGCTCAGTCGGTTAAGTATCCAACTTTAGCTCAGGTAATGATCTCATGGTTCATGAGTGTGAGCCCTGCATCAAACTCTGTGCTGACAGCTCAGAGCCTGGATCCTGCTTGGGATTCTGTGTCTCCCTCTCTCTCTCTGCCCCTCCTCCCCTCTCTCTCCCTCTCTCTCTCAAGAACAAATAAACATTAAAAAAAATAAAAACAAAAAACAAAAGAACCTAGACTCATGAACTTATTAGCTTGTCAACTTTGACATTTCTGGCTGGCCAAAAAAAAAAAAAAAATCCAAATGTTCTGGTTTTCATACTCTGTATGGCATTAACCAGTTTTTAATCTATTAGCAAACTCATTTGAGTATTTGTGTGTATTTATTCAATTATTGACTTCTTCTTTGAAGCACCTTTATCATCATCTTGGTTCCTTATTAATGAGTTAAATAAATCTTTAACACAACTTCATTTTTTATTTGGAAAAATTTTTGAAAACTATACTTTGATATTTCTAATACTTAATTATAGGCATGAAATAATAACCTATTGTAGGTTCCCTTCTCCTTTGTGCTATTTCCCCTTATCCTTTTCCTGATTTTCTTCCTTCAACCTAATGGTCCATTCTTTCAATATTCATGAGTTATATGATGTCATATGTGTGGCAGGCACGGAATTTGAGGTTTATTATACAACAGTAAGTAAATTAGATTTGGGTTAAAGTTTGGTTGAGGGGAGAAGGCAGTAAAGAGGTAGATAAAGTATTTCCATGTATATCGTCACAGCTTTTTTCTTTAAAGCATTTTATTTTTTAATTTTTAAAGTTTATTTGGGGGCAACTGGGTGGCTCAGTCGGTTAAGCGTCTGGCACTGGCTCAGGTCATGATCTTGTGGCCTGTGGGTTCAAGCCCTGTGTCAGGCTCTGTGCTGATAGGTCAGAGCCTGGAGCCTGCTTCGGATTCTGTGTCTCCCTCTCTCTCTGCCCCTCCCCCCCCTCGCACCCTATCTCTGTGTCTCGAAAATAAACAAACATTAAAAATTTTTTCCGATAAAGTATATTTATTTATTTTGAGAGAGAGTTTGAGTGGAGAAGAGGGGCAGGGGGAGAGGGAGAGAGAATCCCAAGCAGGCTCCATGCACAGCACAGAGCCTGACATGGGGCTTGATCCCATGACCACGAGATCATGACCTGAGCCAAAACCAAGAGCTGGAAGATTAAGTGACTGAACTACCCAGGCGACCCATCACAACTTTTTTCTATTTTGCGGTAAGATTCTCGAATGGGAAATCATAGGGGTGACAGTATTTAGAATAAGACAAATGACAGCCATCTAAAGAAGTGATGTTGAATATGAGATCTAAATCCTAACAAGACGCCAGCTTTGCAAAAACTGGGCACAGTGTTACATACAGATCAGCAAATGCAACCCCATGTATTCTCACATGTGCAAGGAGAAACTGGGGGTGGAACACAGTGAGGAAGGCAAGTAGCTTAAAATGAACTTGAATACATTTGACAGGTTGAGGACTCAGTATTTCACTCTTGTGCAACATGAAGCTCTGAAGTGTTTTCAGCAATGGGTCTCATTGTCACTTGTAAGAGAACCACCTTAGACATCCTTATTTCAGCAAACTCCTTAGGCAACTATAATGATAAAAACTGAAAAATCTATCTGAATAACTACCTCACTTACTTCACTTAGGGGATGTCCACATATCCTGTTCTCCTTGTTCACTTATCTAATTGCTTAGTCATATTTGGGAGCTGTAAAGAACAGTCATTTTTTTCATAAACATCATTTTCAGTTTAAAACAATTTCTACTAGGGGCGCCTAGATGGCTCAGTTGGTTAAGCATCCGACTTCAGCTCAGGTCACTATCTCATGGTTCATGAGTTCGAGCCCTGCGTGGGGCTCTGTGCTGACAGCTCAGAGCCTGGATGGAGCCTGCTTTGGATTCTGTGTCTCCCTTTCTCTCTGCCCCTCCCCTGATTGCAGTCTGTCTCTCTTTCTCTCTCAAAAGTAAACAAACATTAAAAAAATAAAAAACAGTTTCTACTAAAGAAGCTCTAACTCTCCAAGAGGAAGGACTAAAATGAGCATCTCTGCTTTTTCATTATCTTTCAGATCACGTATCCTCATGGGAGAAAATGGAAAAATTTATAAACAAAGATCCTGAGGACCCCATGTTCCAGGATGACTGGGAATATAAAGGCATATTTGAGAGACATCAAAGAAATGAGGAAGGAAATTCCAGTCAAGTGATAATCACCCAGGAAGAGTATCTACTGTGAGACAGCAAACTTCCCATAACCTGCATCAGAAAGTTCCACCTGGAAGTAGGCCCTATGCATAACGAATGTAGAGAAGGGTTTCGGCAGAAGACATCCCTTCTAAGTCACCAGAAAATGTATACTGCTGACCGATCTGAGGAATGCAAGCAACATGGGAAGGCTTTCTCCATCACCGTTCTGATCCCCCTCAACATCATAGAACTCACACTGGGAAAGACCCCGTGAATGTAAAGAATGTGGAAGGGCCTTTAGTCCTATTTCCCTCTTTACCCAACACCAGAGAATTCCTACTGGTGAGAAAACCTATGAATGTAAGGAGTATCAAAAAAGCTATATTCAGCTCTCAAAACTTAATGCACATCATAGAATGCATACTAGGGGAAAATTCTATCAATATACTGAATGTGCAAAAACTTGTCACTAATTATTCAACATCAGAGAATTCATACTGGAGAAAACCCTATGACTGTAAGGAATGTGGAGGGCCTTTAGAGGTATCACACAACTTCATGAACATCAAAGGATATATACCAGGGAGAAGCCATACAAATGTAATGAATGTGGAAAGGCCTTCGGTCATCAGCCATATCTTCCTCAATATCAGAGGATCCATACTGGTGAGGCACCTTATAAACGTAAGGTTTGTGGGAAGGCCTTTAGGCAGGGCTCAAAGCTTTATCATCACCAGAAAACTTATACTAAGTGAGAAATCATATAAATGTAATGGAAGCTTTTGGTCGAATTTCATAATTTAATGAGCATTAGCACCCTTACTGGTGAGAACCTTTCTCACTGTACTGAATGTGGAAAAGCTTTTAGTCACTTAACACTAGTTATTCAACATTAGAAAATTCATACTGGTGAAACTCACTATGAATGTCAGGAATGTGGGAAAACCTTTAGTCAGGGTTCACAACTTACTCAACATTATTTGTTATGTATGTAGTAATGTGGGAAGGCCTTCAAGACACAGTCATCTTTCTTAGTTTTAAGGAATTCATGCCATAGAAACTTCCTATAAATAAGTGAAGGAAATATTTCACCGGTCTTGTCCCTGAAAGAACATCAAATAATTTATTATCACGTATAACCTTGTCCAATATGGAAATGCTTTATCTTTCAGCTCATGTTGCATTTATCAGCAGATTCACGTCATTACGTCATCACTAAAGACCATATTAATATGGTAACGTAGAAGAGCTCCCCCTACTACCTATCAATTATTAATTATTTTACAATTCATGATGGCAAACAACCATGCAAGTGGAGAATTTTGAAAACCCATTACCGTAAGCTAATCCTAATTTACAGAAAAGGATGCATAAGAGAAAGTCACGCTTTATATGTCACATATGGGAATTTCTTTAGCCATAAGGCTCTTTTAATGAGAAGATTCATACTGATGAATATAAGTTTTAAAACCCCCATTCAGAACTTGCCATTTATTGTGCATCAGAAAATGCAAAGTTGAGGGGTGCCTGGGTGGCTCAGTTCGTTAAGTGTCTGACTTCTGCTCAGGTGATGATCTCATGGTTCGTGGGTTCGAGCCCTGAGTCAGGCTCTGTGCTGACAGCTCAGAGCCTGGAGCCTGCTTCATATTCTGTGTCTCCCTCTCTCTCTTTCTCTCTGTCCCTCCCCAGGTTGTGCTCTCTCGAAAAAAAAATAAATAAACATTAAAAAAAGATGCAAAGTGAATAAAACTCCAGGCATGTAAAACAACAGTTAACCATTTAACTATTAAAGAAGTTGAGGAAGATGTGCAGAAGTTTGTAACAAATCATACAGGGATATAACTCAGGTAAAAATGTGATAAGTTAGACATTAACAAAGTCACCTTTATGTTACCTAATATTTTCTGCTTCAGTTAAACAAGAAGACTCTGAAGTGAATAAGAGCAGTACATAACAAAACCTGTGGGATGTGGCCATGTTACTACTCAAAGAAATTATAATTTTAAATGTGTTTATAGGTCAGAAAACTATAAACACTGGAATAAGTGAACCAGAGACCTCTTGAGAAGCTAGAAAATGAACACAACTCAGCAATCAAAGAATGTTTTGAAATTATGAGAGAAGTAGGTTTTGTTAACCTTGAAGCTGTTTCTTTAAAAGGATAATATAAGCATTTAGCAAATCTCATAACAGTACAATTTTTCAAGCTGAGAGAGAGAGAGAGAGAGAGAGAGAGAGAGAGAGAGAGAGAGAGAAAGCAGGAGAGAGCAGGAGAGGGATATAGAGAGGTGGGGAGATAGAATACTAAGCAGCTCCACACTGTCAGCACAGAGCTCAGCGCAGGGCTTGATCCCACAAGCTATGAGATTATGACCTGAGCCAAAGTCAAGAGTTGGACCCTCAACAGGGGCGCCTGGGTAACTCAGTTGGCTAAGTGTCCGACTTCGGCTCAGGTCTTGATTTCACGGTTCGTGGGTTCGAGCCCTGCATCAGGCTCTGTGTTGACAGCTTGGAGCCTGGAGCCTGCTTTGGATTCTATGTCTCCCTCTCTCTCTGCCCCTCCCCTGCTCACACACTCTCTCTCAAAAATAAATAAACATTTAAAAAATTAAAAAAAAAAAAAGAATTGGACCCTCAACCGACTGAGCCACCTAGACGCCCCAAAAGTACTATTATTATAAATGATGTAGGGGTGCCTGGGTGGCTCAGTCGGTTGAGGGTCCGACTCTTGATTTTGGATCAGGTCATGATCCCGGGGTCGTGGGATTGAGCCCTGCACTTGGCTTCGTGTGGAGCATGAAGCGTGCTTAAGATTCTCTCTCTCCCCCTCTGCCCCTCTCCCGTTCATGCTCTCTCTCTCAAAAAACAAAACAAAACAAAACAAATGAGGAGGATGCAGCAACACACATAAAGGATATTAAGAAATAAGGTTGAATACTTACCAATTTTTATGCCAATAAATTAAAATTTTTAGATTAACTTTCCTTCCTAAAAAGGAAAAACTATGTTTCTAGAATTGACTAAAGATTAGCAAAGGACAGATTTTATAGGGAATGCAATTACATGTTTAAAAAAATCAGGTATTTTTTTATTTTATTTTAGAGAGAGCATGAGCAGGGGAGGGGGGAGAGAGAGAGAGTGAGAGAGAGAGAGAATTTTAAGCCCCTTACATGGGGCTCGATCCCTCAACCCTGGGATCATGCATGACCTGAGCTGAAATCAAGAGTCCTACGCTCAACTGACTGAGCCACCCAGGTGCCCCATTATTATCAGTTTTTAAGAAGAAAGACTTACCCAACTATTAAGTGTAGAGGGAATATCTATGATACAAATTTCCAAGTTTGAAAAGACGCAATTATCAGTTCCTTTTCTAAACCTTGCATGATCTCAACATATAAACAGGAACCAAAATTTACATATGTCCTCAACCTCCCAAATTACAAAAAAAAAAAAAAAAATGTTGAGTGTTTGAGTACCAAATACTTATCTACATGTTAATTTTGACTATAAATTTAAAAAATCATAAGTACTACCAAATTAATATTATAGTTGTTTCTCTTTAAAATGTAAATATTTCAAAATCAGTAATATAATTGTTACTACTTTAAAAATTAAAAATGGGAATGCAAGGGGCACCTGGGTGGCTCAGTCGGTTAAGCGGCCGACTTTGGCTCAGGTCATGATTTTGCGGTCCATGAGTTCAAGCCCTGCGTCAGGCTCTGTGCTGACAGCTCAGAGCCTGGAGCCTGTTTCAGATTCTGTGTCTCCCTCTCTCTGACCCTCCCCCGTTCATGCTCTGCCTCTCTCTCTCTCAAAAATAAATAAATGTTAAAAAAAATTTTTTTTTAATAAAAATGGGAATGCAAGCTGGCGCAGCCACTGTGGAAAACAGTATGGAGGTTCCTCAAAAAATAAAAATAGAACTACCTTACAACCCAGCAATTGCACTACTAGGTATTTAGCCAAGGGATACAGGTATGCTGTTTCGAAGGGGCATATGCACCCCAATGTTTATAGCAGTGCTATCAACAACAGCCAAAGTATGGAAAGAGCCCAAACGTCCATCGATGGATGAATGGATAAAGAAGTGGTATATATATGTAATGGAGTATTACTCGGCAATCAAAAAGAATGAAAGTTTGCCATTTGCAACTATGTGGATGGAACTGGAGGGTATTATGCTAAGTGAAATTAGTCAGAGAAAGACAAATATCATATACTTCACTCATATGAAGACTTTAAGAGACAAAATGGATGAACATAAGGGAAGGAAAACAAAAATAATATAAAAAACAGGGAGGGGGACAAAACATTAGAGACTCATAAATATGGAGAACAAACAGAGGGTTACGGGAGGTGGTATGGGGGGGGATGGGCTAAATGGGTAAGGGGCACTAAAGAATCTACTCCTGAAATCATTGTTGCACTATATGCTAACTAATTTGGATATAAATTTAAAATAAATAAATAAATACAATTTTAAAAAAACACAAATTTTTTTAATTTAATGTTTATTTCTGAGAGAGAGAGAGAGAGCATGAGCAGAGAGGGACAGAGACAGAGGGAGACACAGAATCTAAAGCAGGCTCTCCAGGCTCTGAGCGGTCAGCACAGAGCCCGACGTGGGACTCAAACTCATGAACCGCGAGATCATGACCTGAGCTGAAGTCAAACACTTAACTGACTGAGCCACTCAGGTGCACCTGTTACTTTTTTTTTTTAAACTAGAAGATAATTTTTCAGGAATTCAGGAGAAAATGCCTATCCAAGCTTGGTTATTCTTCCAGAGTTTAGGCAGCTTAACTAAAAAGGGAAAATATTTTAAAATCACTTGATTTAAAACCACTGAAGAATGGTATGATGACATATGTAGAATTAGAATGTGATACTTAAGGGGCGCCTGGGTGGCGCAGTCGGTTAAGCGTCCGACTTCAGCCAGGTCACGATCTCGCGGTCCGGGAGTTCGAGCCCCGCGTCGGGCTCTGGGCTGATGGCTCAGAGCCTGGAGCCTGTTTCCGATTCTGTGTCTCCCTCTCTCTCTGCCCCTGCCCCGATCATGCTCTGTCTCTCTCTGTCCCCAAAATAAATAAACGTTGAAAAAAAAATTAAAAAAAAAAAGAATGTGATACTTAAAAGTAATTATTAACCACAAAAAATAAGAACAACTTAGAATCATTTAAACATATGCACAATGTGGAACTTAAATGTTTTCTTAGGAAATGTGGAATAAACTATCTCCTTTCACTCAGCTTTGACTTAAAAGATAACTGCATTTTAGGTAGAGTTTGTTAGGTAGCAACAAACGTTGAAGACAAAGTGCTATTAAAAAGAAAACCACAGGCCCAAAATGGTGTCACTAAAATGGCATCACTTAGGCTAAGTCACCAAATCGGGGCTTAATAACTATCCTAAGTGCACTTTCAACGAATCCGAGAAATATAGTGTTTTTTTTTTCTAAAGTTTATCTATTCTGAGATAGAGAGAGAGGGAACGAAAAGAGAGAAAATGTGAGCA